AGGGGACCCTCGGGCAGCATCCACATGGCTTTTGCTTCTGAGACCCCATGGTTGAGTGGGGAAGACTGTCGGCCATTCCTAAGTTGGGTGTCCCTTTCTTGTGCAAGGTCCGAGGCGACGTTGCAGGAGGTGGCAGCCTGGGAGACCTGGGGCTGTGACAAGCCTTTGCTTCAGTGATGGAAACAAGGCAGGGCTGCTTTGAGACCAGCCTCTCAGCAGGGACCTGCTGCTTCCTTGGGCAGATAGATGAGTCCAGGGAACCAGGCTTGGCTGGACCCGGGAGAGTGTGGTCAGAGCTGCATTTTATGGAAACAGCTGCGGCTCATGACTCGCTTTCTGAGCTGAGAGATTTACAGGGCTGCACCGTTTTAATGGTTTCTGTGGGGTTCGTGTCCTCCCCCGCTCATCCTGGCCACTGTTTTGGGGCAGATGGGTGACAAGCCTTCCCAAGCTGGACCCGCCCAACAGGCTGCGCCAGGGAGTAAGGGTCGACCACCTAAGCCTCCTTGTGAGGGGCAGCTACTAGGGGGGCCCATCTGGACAGCCCATAAATCTAGGAGACCTCCAAGCGGCAGGAAGCCTCCCTGCAGAGGCCTTGTCAGGGGAAACTCTTCCCCGGGGTCCCTCCAGCAGGTGGCTTAGCCCATGCTGGGCCTTTTCCTCTAAGGATTGGTTCCAGCAGGCAGTGGCTGAGCAGCTTCTGTCTCATATGGACAGCATTCCTAGGACCCGGCCCAGGTTGGGTGCTTTGATCTTAGCCAGAGTACCCCAAACCTCAGGAGCGTGGGTCAGCTCCAGGGTGGTGCAGTGCCAGGTTTGGAAGGCCTAGAGCTGGGAAAGGAGGAAGTCGGGTTTTTGAGCGAGCTAGGGTCCTGGGCAGAGGATGGGGTTGCCATAGGTGCGCAGCAAGACCCCTCCAATGGAAGAGTTCAAGTACAGGATGTGACCTGGAGCTCCCCACTTGGGAAGTTGCCTTTGTTCTGGAATTTCCCCAGTGCTGGGACTCCAGGGAGGTTGAGGCACCCTCTGCTCCTGTAGAAGGACATGTCGGTGCCTTGCACTGCAGCCAGGGGTGGGGCAGGTAGCAGGTTGAATTCTGCCCTCTTTGATCAAGAGGGAAGTGGCTCAAGGCACCTCATCTGCCCTGGGCCTATTTCCTAGTTACCCCCTCCTCCTTGAGCCACAGCAGGATTTCTGCTAAGGGACAAAGTAAAGCTCACCAGTAGCAGCTGCTAGGGCTGAGCCCTTATTTTATGTGGTGAGCCAGGACTTACTTGGAGAAGGGGAGGGTAGATCTGCAGCCCTGAGATGGAGCCATTTCTTGTTTATAGTAGGGCCAAAAGAACCAGCCAGTGGGGGTCCCCTGCCAGCATCTGCCTCCGGGACTCTTCTGTCTGCACTTCAGAGAACGACAACTGCCTTATGGCTCCCCCCCCCCACTTCCTCTCAACCAGAGGGCACTGAGGAGCGTGTCTCCCATCTCCCCGGGCTCATTTCATGGTCTGCCTTCCTGAGGTTCATCTCATCTCCACCCTTTCTAATCAGAGGGTGGGGGATCCTCGCCAGAGGTGCTAGTCTTGTTGAGGACAACTTTTAGGACATCAGTGAAAGGAGGGTAGGTGGCCAAGGCTGGTGGCCTGGGGTGTTTCACTCTATCTGGGGCTGCTGTAACAAAATTAATTAGACTGGGTCATTATAAACCATAGAAACTTACTACTCACAGTTCTGAGGCTGGGAGGTCCCAGAGCAAGGTGCCAGTAGTCTCGTTATCTGGTGAGGCTTGCTCTCTGCTTCAAAGGAGTCACCTCATTGCCCTGGCATCACGTGATAGGAGGGGCAGGGAGATCACTTGATCCTCTTTTATAAGGGTATTAATCCTGTTCATGAGGGTGGAGCCTTAGAACTTAGTCACTTCCCATGACCCCACCTTTTAATACTCTCAAGTTGGGTATTAGGTTCCAACCTAGGAATTTGGGAGGGACACGGACGTGAAGACCAGAGGAGGGTGTAAGAGGCCTGGGATGGGCAGAGCTGCCTAAAGCTCACCGTGCCCAGTCCCCTGGATGGGTGATATCATAGGCATATCTGGGTTGGTGGGGACCCCAGGCTCATATAGCTCAGTGACCCTGGTCATTCCCTGCTCTGAGCCAGCAGCTGGCTGGGGTGGCGGCAGCCCTGGTGGTATGCTATGTGGCTGTAGGAGCGCGTGTGGAGCAAGTCTGTTTGAGGTCACCCTTGCAATGTGTATTTTGAATATTTTCAGCTGTGGCGCACGGTGGGGACTTGGCCTATGCACTGTGTGTGCAGCTCGCTCATACTTGGTGGGCTGTGTAATGTGCAAAGGTATTGCCAAGGGCAGCAGAAATGTGGATTTTTTCCAGCAAAATCACATGAATCCTACCACCACCCGCCCCCGGGCCTGGGCTGTCTCACCCTACAGTCGGGGCAGCTCCCACCCAGGGAGTAGCTGGGATCTGCTAGGTGTAGTAGGAGGCCAGAGGCTTTGTCCCAACTGACCAGCATCCATTGCTTTATCTGGGTTCTTGAGGATAGTGAGGTGCCCTCCGTGTTAAACGTGTCGCTAAGGCTGGGGAGAGGAGAGGTTGTCAGCCCTTCTGCTATGAAGGGCCACATGCCTGCAGGTCTTCCAGGGCATAAGAAGGCCACCCTGGGGTACCAGTCCAAGGCTAGACCTTGTCCAGGCGGCTCATCCTCAGCAAAGCTGAGAGACCCTAGCAGCCTGCCCTGGGCTGAGGCCAAGACCCAGAGTCCTCAATTCATTGTATTGGTTTCCCAGATTGTCAGAGCACGGTGTCACGACTGAGTGGCTTAAACAAAGAGTTTTTTTCTCAAGATTCTGGAGGCCATGGGTCTGAAATCAAGGCGTCGGCAGAGCTGTTTTCTCCTGAGGTCTTGCTCCTTGGTTTGTAGATGGCCGCCTTCGCCTTGTATCCTCACGGGGTCATCCCTGTGTCTGTGCCCTGATCCCTACAAGAATACCAGTCCTATTGGATTAGGGACCACCCTCCTGACCTCATCTTAATTAGCTTTGTAAGGACCTTGTCTCTAAAATAAGGAGTCAGGGCTTCAATATAGGAACTGGTGGCGTGTATAATCCCTCCCCTATCACCGGTGGATGACTGGGGCCTGGGATCAGGGCTGCATAGTTTCGGGGCCCCAGCCCGAGCTGCCTCTATAGCATCCTGGTTGGGCCAGAGGTCTGAAGTACCATGCAGGCAAACAGCCCTATCCCTAGGGAGGCTCATTCTGTATTCAGCTCAGTCCTGGAGAGAGGAAACCGAGGCTCTTAGGGACGTCGGGGGTGGTTCCCCCATTGCTTAGCTGAGGGGCACTCAGTTGCCACGGTGACCTTCGTCTGCACAGTCAAATCCACACAGCCCAGCCACTCCTCTGGGCTGGAGGGCTCCCCCCACCCTCAGAGTTCACACTGAGTGTTGAGAACCTTGGTGACAAAAACATGGAAACGGTTGCCATGGCAGCTATTCTTTGGAGCCCTCAGACTGGAGTGCAAAGTTCAGGATGCCCAGGAACAACTGAAATGAAAATATGGGAAAACCCGCCACTTCCCTTCTTCCAGGAGGATCAAGCTGGACAGCATTTGGTGCTCTCCCGCACTCAGCCATCCTCGCCCCTCCCCATTACACTGGGCCCAGTGTGGGCACAGGAGAGGAGGTGGGAGGTCCCCTGGGGGTGCCAGTGGCTGAGTGGTCTCCTGAGAGATGTTGGGCAGACCTCCGGGTGGGTGCCCTGCTTGCAGCTGTTACATGGGAAGGTGATGACCACTGGGCCTCCTGTGGGGATGCGCCTTTATGGTAGCTGAAGCCAGAGGCTGCCTGGGTGTTACTTTCTTCAAATTGTTGCCCTGGCCCAGGAGACAAACTTCCCTGCTCAGTGGGATGAAGAAGAGTACAGAGCGTAGCGGGTGGGCTCAGCAAGGGAAAGCGGGAATGAGGAAGGTGGCCAAGCAAGTTGCCCCTGGAGGGAGGTGAGTACCGTTGAGAGCTGCTCCCCATACCAGGAAGCATGACCCACAGGGCTCTTCAGTCAGGGTGGTTAGGAAACCATCCCACCCATGTTTGGTAGAAAGGAAACCCAGGACTTGCTTTAACCTGCTGTTTCACAAAGCTTCTTACTCCCCCCTCCCCACTTTTTAAAAGCACTTCCTCCTATTTTTAAATTAGCCCTTACTGTCCTGCAGGAGTAACAACTGTAAGCCCACACTACGGCACTGATCCTTCATGTCTAGGGGGATCAGTGTCCCCTGGGAATAGGTGGGAAAATGGATTTTCTGGGCCCCACCTACCTCCGATCAATCAGAATCTGGGGTGGCATTAACACTGTTTTTGGAAGCCATTGAGGGAATTCTGATGCACACCCCCACTAACTCCTGCATCAGGTAACTGGAAGGAAGAGGAATGGCAGAACAGTACCAGGACTCTAGAAAAGGCATAATCCAAAACCAGGGTATCCTCTTTGATACCTAGGTATTGGTGCCCCATGATGTTCTGCTTAGTCTGGGTAGAAATCAAAGCTATGTGTCCCAGGGTGTCATGAGGCTTGATGTTAAGTGATTGTGGCCTTTGGAGGTACAGAGCTGAGGAATGGCCTGCACTGTCACTGAGGGCACCTGCTCTGGGCAGATGGACCTTGTACAGAGTGCTGGGTCCATCTGGTCAGTTCCTGTAGGCTTCACCTGGCCTTGATAGATATACTAGACCAAAGCAATGGCCAAGAGGGGACCTTCATAATAGGAGGTAAAGCTTGGAGCAGTGGCCTTGGCCAGGATCCATTTTGCTTTTACCTGCCCATTGTCTCTTGGAGTATCCTCTACAATCACTTCCCAGCTCCAGGTCTCCCTTTCCTTTTCTCCAGGCTCTTGGAGAGGGAGGGGCAGGTAGGACGCACCTGGCCCCAGAAGCTGGGAACCCTGGCTGTACTTCCTGCCCGTAGCCCACTGGCCTGCCTGTGCTTTCTTGCAGCTGTCCAGATCCACATTCTGAAGGCAGACAAGGCAGGGGACTGGTGGAAGTTCACGGTGAACATCATCTCCGTGTACAAGCAAGGCACCAGCCGCATCCGCCGTGGTGACCAGAGCCTGTGGATCCGCTCGCGTGACATCGCCTGCAAGTGCCCCAAAATCAAGCCCCTCAAGAAGTACCTACTGCTGGGCAACGCCGAGGACTCACCCGACCAGAGTGGCATCGTTGCTGACAAGAGTAGCCTGGTGATCCAGTGGCGGGACACGTGGGCGCGGCGGCTGCGCAAGTTCCAGCAGCGTGAAAAGAAGGGCAAGTGCAAGAAGGCCTAACGCACACGCAGCAGCACGCTGGGCTCGGGACGTGGGCCCGGCTGAGCGTGAGCTGAGCACGTGCAGCTGATGGCTGCCAAGTGGACTTGGCCCATGAGGGCTTTCCCGGGAGGGTGGAGGGTGGGGGCGGGGCTACAGCGGGGGCGGGGCCCTCGATGGCCCCTCCCCCAGCCCCACTCTGTGCACCCCTAGCGGGAGCCAAGTGCATGCACACTCAGGGCAGGGTGCGCAGCAGGCCAGGCCCTGGAGAAATGAGGACCAGACGTAGCTACCTCACGGGGCTCCTTCCAGAGCAGAAATGCGCTTCCCTAGGGCTAGGTGGGGTCACCGTGGAGGGGCTGGGAGCTAACCCTGCCCTGGGGCCTGAGGGACGGCACTGAGTGGCACAGATGGGGCCACAGAGCTTGGCGTTGTTGGTAATGCAGAAGGGGGCGTGAGGAGAACTGTGAAATTGCAGGCCAGCAGCCTGGGCAGGGGCTCTGAGCAAGCCCAACCAACCACCAAAAGATAAAACTTCCTCCTTCCTCTCCTAGCTATGACACCCTGGGCCCCATCTGAAAGGCAGGGGTGGCACTGGGGGGTGGGAGCAGCCTGTCTAGCCAGCAGTCTTCATGGGGCCTCTGGTCTGCACGGCCACCTGCTGGGTTGGTCCTGGGTGGGGTGGGGGGGAGAGAAGGCCCCTGTGGGTGCCTGCCTGGACTGGCCCAGGGTTCTGGCCCATCCTGAGGGCAGTGGGCCTAAGGACACCCTTGAGAAGCCCAAGCCGGGTGGTCACTGCCTCATGCTGGAGCTGCCTGGGGGAGGAGGCAGTACGAAGGCAAAAACCTCCCAGAGAGTTTCCTTTTTGGAAACTTGGAACCAGCCCCTTTTATGACATTTTCCAGGGGAGGGGGAAGGAGCACTGGCTGAGTTTACAGCAATAACACTATTTGTGTAATGACATCAGCTCCCATAAGGCCCCTCAGCAGTGTCAACAGCTGGAGAGGGCCTGGACGGGCATGCCGGCTGCAAGGCAGTTGGGCTGGGCTTGCGTCAGGACATGGTTCGCTGGCTCAGCCAAAGTGCCCAGGTCCTAGGCACCAGGGCCAGGCATGGCCATGTTCCTGGGCACCCATGACCACTTCCTGCTCTGCCCTCGATGTTGGCTCCTAAGGGAGGAGAAGTGGCTACCCCAGATGGCTCTGGGGCTCCCCTCACAGCTGTCTTCCTCTAACCTGGGCAGCACTTCACCCACTTTTTTCTAGCCGTCCTCATTTTGAAGACCCCCTGTGCCTTCCACTGGGCCCAGCCCTCCTTCCCAAAGCCTCCTAGAGACTGTCCTCAAGCAGGCAGCCCCAGACGTTTTGGTCTGGCTGCCTTGCAGGACCTGTTCCTGTGCTCTGGTGCCTCTCGGCTCCTGCCTTCCTGAGCTCTCTGCACTGCCCTGGGGCTTCTGGCCCCATCTTCACACTGGGCAGCTGACTGAGTGGCCTGGCTCCCCTCTCAGTCAGGAAATTGGTTTTATTTTCCCTGCCAGAGGTTGGCTGCTTACAGGGCCATTCCAAGGATGAAGCTCGCTTCCCTTTCCTTCCTCTACTTCTGCCCGCGTCACCACTGCCACTTACTGAGCACCTGCTGCGTGCCAGGCACTTTACCTTCCTGTCCCTAGCCTGTCCTCTGGAACAGGGTCTCTTGCCCCCATTTTCACCAACAGGGAAACTGGCATGTGTGTGGCCAAAGTTACACAGCAAATATGTGACAGCACTGAGACTCAGATCCCAGAACCAGGCTTTCTGACCGTGGGCTGTGCTACCCCTGGAACTTACCCAGCAGGCTATGCGGGGTGCCCAAGGCTGAGTTGCCACAGAGACCCTAGAAGCTGCCTCTTGAGGACATTGAATCTAGCCTGCAGAGTAAGCACTCGGGGTGAGACAGGGGACAGTACACTAACATCTTCAGAAGAGTGGTGGGTGCAGCAGGAAACACGGACAGCCTATGCAAGTCTTTAGCGCTCCTGAGGTTCTAGAAAGGTGGTTTTCCTGCTTCAAGTGCAGGGAGTGGGCTGAGGGATTCCAGGAGCAACTGGCAGAGGCACCTCAAGGTCAGTGAGAAGATAGATCTGCCCTGGGAAAGGGCATTGGGCTTCCCTGAATCTTAATTCGGTGGCTGAGGGTCAAGGACTGGACCTCTCCAGGCACTGAGATCCAGTCTGGGCGGCTGATGAGGGCAGTTGTTTATCTCACCAGCATAGCTCCACTGCATCCCACCCTGGATCTGAATCTTGCCCTGTGTCCAGTGAGGGGCCTGCACTGGTGTTCCTAGGGCCCTGCCAAATAACAAGGCAGCTTGCTGAAAAGCCAACCATTGTCACCCTCCAGCTCAGCCACCCCACCACACCAGGGCCTAGGCCATCTACCCAGTGGCCTAGCCCTGGGAGAAGATGTCAGGGGGGCCAAATCAGGAACAAGGACACTGTTGGGATTACATCATTTTTCACAGGCTGCCCCCCCGCCCCCCCCCACACACACACTTTCCTTATGGACTTAGCCAGAACTCAGTCCATTCCTACTCTACTCTGACCTCCACAGAAGAGACCCAGCTTCAGGCCAACATCCCTTTTCCACCTCTGTCCCTGTCCCAGGGAAGAGAGGGAAATAGGAATCGAGGTGTTCCAGTTTGTATAGTTAGGAAGGGATGTAAAACGGACCTAGATTTGAAGAGCGTATTAACCAGAATTGTGATATGTAGGTGTTGGAAGAAAAACACCAGATTAGTCCTTATTTTGTTCTTAAAACAGCTTCCCCAGTGTCCTTTTTCTTACCAGGTGGGTGGTCTGGTACGCAAGAGCTGCCTATTTTACTCACACTGTGGAAGGCCGAAGGCAATGGCGCTGTCCCTCCCTGTGGCCTCTGTCCACAGCTTCTGTCCTTGGAAAGCAGACCAAGAGGCAACAACCTTAGGTTTCTTTGAGTAGGAGGGACAGACAGGTGGAGTGAAAGCCCAGGGCCTGTGCCTCAGTGGTAGCATGCAGGCCCGGGGTACGGACTTTCTTGGAATTGCCCAGGTTCAATGAGACTGAAGTCAAGAAGAGACCCTTAGGGACTAGGAAATGGTTCTTTCAGGGTCCCAACACTTAAAGGACCCCCCCCCCCTTCCCCACAAACTCCCAGAGCCAAGAGCATGGACAGACTCATGGATGGGCCACTGGATCACGGTTTGTGGACAGACACTCCCGTGGGCCATACCCTAGGGGTATCAAAATTGACCTTGCCCCAAATAAGCCAGCCCTACTCCTTGTGTCATTGGAAATCCTTCCCTACTCCCAAATGCACTTCCCACTCAACTCCCTCCTGTGTTGGAGATTTCTGTTCACTCAGAATTGTAAATGTTTAGTTGTGACCATGACATATTGTTTGGGTCAGTATTCCTTTCCAATGCATACTAATATATTATGGTTATTATATATGAATATATTTAATGACATGGAAAGAGTTGTGGATTTTTTTAAAGCTTTTTTTTTTTTTTGGTTGTTAGAGCTGTAATGGACCCAGATGGAACTTGTAACTTGGGCCCCACATGATAGAACTAAATTCAGATATCATTAAATAAACTCTTGTATACTGTTTTGTCTCCCAGTCTTTCTTGGTGGCCTGAGTTATGGGTGGTGGGCATGTGGGGAGGTAGGAGGGGATGGAATCTTCTGACAACTTAAGGAATATGGCCCTTTTGCCCCAGAACTCCCCAGCAAGACAGCCCAGGAGCTTGCTAAAAAAAAAAAAAAAAAAAAAAACTACTAAAAAAAGACAGTTTGCTTAGAAAGTTCTGGGGGCTTGCTGGCTCTGAATGCAGAGCTAAAAAGTCTCGCATACGCAATTGTCTGCTTATGTCCCCAAGTTACCACCCCTGGGACAGATCCTTGCTGCTTCCTGGATGGGGAGGAACCCAGGGGATGGAGGAAAGGGGGTTCCCTCTAATGTACCCATATGGCAGCAGTGGGATGAGGTGCCACCTTTGACCTTACCTGTTTGATTCAGAACCTGCAAATCTTCTGCCTCTTACGTATCCAGTTTCTTCTATTCAAAGCCAAGTAGAGACTCTAAGGAACTAGGACAGGACTGGTGAAACTCAAGAAACCTTGCAACAGACTCCAGCCTTTGCTGAAGGCTTCATGCAGAGCAGAGACTGGGAAGATGCCAGCACCATGCAGCCACCAGGAGCTGAGCTCACTGGGTTTTTGGAGAGGCTATATTTAAACTTCCACATGGTTGTGATCTCGTTATTAAATAAACAATCCAGCCATTAGGAGCATGTTGTGTTGCCACGCGAAGTGGAGCCGATCGGCACCAGGAAGCTGTAATTTCTGCACCCGGCTGTTTGGATGACAAGGTTCAGCCACCGACCTGATCTGGCCCCTCAGCAACAGGGATTCTAGTGATCCCTCCTTCAAAGGCACAGGAAGCTGTCCTTTGCTGTGAGGCCAGCTGGATGGAGGTGCCATCATCCGCTGCTTCTCAAGACAGATACAGGCAGGCTCCAAGGACCCGGAGCTATGCTCTAAGCCAGGGCCGGTAGGCACATGCACTCAAGGTGCCCACTCAATCTTAGGAGCAAGTCCTTGTTGAAGACAATGCTTGACAGTGGGGTGGGGGTAGGGGGGGACAAGAGGCAGACTTCAAGTGGCTGGACAGGTCAAGGAAGAAGTAAGGCTTTTTTGTTGTCTCGTATGCCTCTGCGGGCCAGCTTGACCATTTGCAAGATTTAAGACTCCCCTGAGGCTAAGAGGTCTGTGATGCCCTTGGCACTTTGAGACTCAGGTTTGGTCATTTTAGGTCAAGTGTCCAGTTCTTAAGAACTTTCATGATGTGGCTTTTTTCTGTCCATAAAGTTGTCTGTGCCTCAGTGTGCTGTGTCTCTTTGGGGACTCCATCACAGCCAGGAGCTGGGCTGCCAGCTGCGGCCCCAGGCCCAAGCCTGCAGGAAGCACACTGTTGATCAGAGACACATTAGAATGGGCACCATGGTCAGCCCTGCTGCCTCTCAGGGCCTTCAGCTCTGGCTGGGGAGACGAGGTAACATCTGTACAACTCACCCGATACAGGAAATTGTGCTGGGTTGCTGTGAAGCACTGGCCCAAGACAATAGGAAAGGCCCATTTTAGAGACTGGAATGTTGAAGTAAAAGGACACTGAGAGGTCCTCACCAGCGACCAGGGCCAGGCCAGGCCTAAACCCAGAGGGCTGCCAGGAATAGATCTGCCTGGCTGCCCAAGCAGCAGTTGGGGAGGGTCACAGTTCATGAGGCCTCTTTCCCCTCATCCCTGCATCTCCCAGGGACAGTGTCTGGCATGGGGATGCCCACTCGTGGCAGACACACCCCTCAGTCTCAGATTCCGTTAACAGACATCTCTTTCCGTTCTCTTTTTAAGACTAAATAAAGACATATAAGAAATGCGCCAAGAAAAACGGGGAGTGAAAAGGGAGAAAGAGCCAGTGAGAAACACAGTATATAGACGGATTAACTTGTTGCTTTATCAAACTGGAGACTCGGTGGGACAGCGAGGCATTTCTGGAAAGAGGTCAAGGCCTTTTGTTACTGGCACGGAGCTGGGAGGAAGTCTGTGAAATCGTACAATTAGAGGAAAGAGGAGTTTGGGCTCCCTTTTAAAATAACGGGGAGAAAGCCCCTTTAACCCCAGTGGGGCTAGGTTTGAAACTCCACCTAGGTAAGAGATCTCGAGTCTGTGCACAAAGCTGCCAGGGTAACTCTGAACCTGAAGGAGAAGGAAAGAGGCTCACCTCTCCACCAGGAGGGAGGCGGCAGCTCTGCAGCTGGCTGCTGGCAGTTCTCTTTAATGGGTCAGGGGAAAGCCAGGTGGACAGTTCTGGAAGCTTAGGTACAGTCAGGAATTCTGCAGCAGCCCCCATGGAAGGAAAGTTCTCAGGATCTGAGCTCAGAAGAGAGCACAGACCCAGGCAGGTTGGCTGGCTGCAGGCAGCAGAGAAAAGAAGGACAAGGGTTTTTAACATCAAATCTCCAGAGGCTAGGTGCAGGCTGTGACTCCGACCTTGCAGAAGCATGTGACTCCTTGAAAGAAGCATATGGTCCTTGACTGATGACAGCTGAGGTTTAGTGCAGTTATCAATAATCACAAAGTTTAAATGGAATGAAAGTACCAGCTGTACCCGGGGATCTGGATTTCTTTATATGGTATCTAGACTTAAAATGCTTATAATTAATAATCAGCTAAGTTAAACAATTCTTACGCTGTTATCTTAAATAAAGTTTATTTTCACTAAAAAGTTTCCGAGGTGCTGGGTGCTGTGGCCGTGGCTAGCCAATCTTCTTTATCTCCTTTATGAGGGCTTACAGCTCGACCCATCAATCTCACAGTCTTTGCTTCAGGTCACCTGGGACTGTGGTCCTGACACTTTGGCAGGAGGTGGGAGTGACTATGCTTTGTGAACCATGTTGGCAAATGCTACTTTTACATGAGCCACCTACTTTTATATGAGCCACATGTCCACATGTGGACACTATAAGGTTGGTCTTAAGAAAACAGGTCCCCAAAAGTGTTGCATCCCAGTCACCTGGGTATTCCTTGCCACTTCTAGTCTGGTAAGGACAGGTGTCTCACTTGGGAAACTCACGCCTTGAAGAAGACCGAAGGAGCTGGTCTCTGTGTGGCATGCCCTTAGCCTCTGTATTCCCCAACATCTGAATCGTAGGTCCTAGCTCTTTAACTTCCCAGGCATCTTTTCTTCCACTCTTCTGACTGTGGATCCAGAGAAGTGAAGTAACTGTTCTAGGGTCACACAGCTAGTAACACTGGGGCTGGGCCTAGAGCCCATTCAGCCAAAAGAACAGAAGCTGCTGTGTGTAGACATCAGCTCAGTGTTTTGCTTGAAAAGGCCTTTCAGTGTGACTGAGCCAGGACTCTGTGGCTCTGTGGCTCTGGTTCAAAGTTGTCCCACGAGTTGCCGGGGCTCCGTGCTGAGCAAGTCAAGAGGAGGTGAGAAAGTCAAACAGACTGTCAATGCCTCCTCTCCTGAGCCCCAGAGTGGGGGCCGGGGGCTCTAGGAGATGTAGTTTGTACAGATTTGGGGTTTCACACAGACTGGAAGATGTGGCTCTGAGGATTCCTGGTCTTCCATTGGGTGATCCATTAGCAACCGCCCCACCCTGACAAGGATGCATCCTGGGGCATGTTGCCATCCACAAGCCCTTGCCCAGGCTCCAGCAGGGCCTCTCCAGGAACACACCCGTGTGAAACAAACCTGCTCCTCTCTCCTCCCCTTCACTGTCGGAGTCCCTGAAGATGGCTCATGCTCATGGAGGTCCCATTCCTCACCCTCTCAGCCCTGTGCCAGCTCCCACGTGGACACCTCCCAGCCACCCTGATAAGTCTTCTGGAAGGGCCTGGGCCTCCTCAAGAGGTCACTGGGCACCAGGGTCCAAACTGACAGGAGAGCTTGTTTTCCTGGCTGGCTCACTTTCACATCCTCACGCCTCTGTCCTGCTGCACTAGGTTGAAAGCAGGTGGCAGGCTCCTGAGCTCCAGATTTGGTGACCATCTGGCCCACAAAGTTCAGGTGAATTAGAGGCAGAATCCCTTCCTCAGCTGAGTCAAGTGACATGCTCTGTGCTTCCACCTGTGACTCAGTGCTCAACCAGGTGGTAGGGGGAGCTTGTCTCCTTTTTCTAGATGAGAACACAGAGGCATAGAAAAGAACCTGTTTGTGGTCACAGATCTGGTGAGGGGTGTGGTCATCCTGGAGCTGTTCACTGCATATTCACACTTCCTTCCCAAACCTTCCTAGTCCCCCGTGGTGACGTAGGACTAAATACTAGTTCTGGCCAGTGAGTTGAGAGCAGAGGTGATGGGTTCACTTCTGAACTGAACACTTCATTGCCAGAGTCCTCTTTTCCTCTGCTGGAGGGGCCTCAGTGGCTGTCCCATTGACTTGAGTTCTGGAGCAAGGAGAGGTGGTGAGATCTAAGCAGGTGTCTGGACCCAGCTCTTCCCTGCATACCTAGAGTCTTTGGTCTCAAGATCCCAGGAAATAACATCATGCCAGGCTGTACCATGTCACTCTTCCTGGTGTCTGTCTCTGTCCAGAGGGGAATTCATGTCACATCATCCCGAGAAAGTTCACAGGAGACCCTCCAACAGTCCCCTCCTCAGTGATATCATGTGCTTTGGCAACTGCTGGGTCATTGACCCTAATTCTTTTTCCTTCTACCAGAGGCACAGTAAGGCCTGCTTCCCATCCTACTTTCCCACACAGGGCGGAGAGAAGGCACGATACTTGGCCTTCTGTTCCCTTCTAACTTACCCA